CTCCGTTCGGCCGCGCAGATTCCTCCCGTGTGTTATTTATTTACATCCCCTGCCGTATTGGCCGGCTGTGTCGATGGACGCGCCGATGATGGGAAACATATATTTAGAAGAAGGAAAAAACACCACACAAAGTGCATATGTGTGTGTGAAAAAATAAAAAAAAGGCGGACAAAATCGCCTTTTCCTTGGACTTTCTCATACGATTTTTTTTCCCTTTTCTTTTGCCAAATCTCCTTCCCCTGCTATAAAAGATAGTGTCCTGCGGTTTCTTATTCAGGTCAGGACCCGCAACATAATGCACCGCTTCGCCTGTCCGTGCCACTGTCGAATCCAAATTTCGATCGAGTTTTTATATTTCTTTTTCGTCAAACCAGGAAAGTCACGGGAAATGAAGGGTGTGTGGGGAGGGGAAAAAACGCACCCGCACTGATCATTATAATAGTAGTCATCGGTATAGGTTCGGATTATTGCACCCCTGCTCTGAGAATGTCTGAAAGGCCCTTCCTTATGCGTATACCATGGCGTATATATACGACCGTCGCTGTGGTTTTTGCTCTTCGGCGCTGACTCCTCACTCACTGTCCGCCACTCTATTCTTCTGTCCGTTGTGTGTGTTCGTGTGTGTGTGGACTGCCTCCTTTCACCCCGGCCCGGGCTGCGCGACGCACACGTGGGTCCACCGTCACGTTGTGCGCTCCGTTCTCTCATTTGCACAGCCTCCCGCTCGCTTGCGCTGCTTTCGAGGAAGGTCGGTCGGATATTTTAATTTTAATGACAAACGCGCCAAGAGTGAGTAAGTAGAGTGATGCCTTCACCATGCGTATATACCGTAAATGTGTTGGTCGTGCATGAAAAACGCACACTCGCACACAGAAATGATTATGATTAAATTATGGAAAATGAGAATGCGCGCGCGCGCGGCGTTGCACGAGGAGGAGGGAGAAGAGTGTGCGTGGTGGTGACGTCAGCGCGCCCGGCCCGCGGCGGCCGCGGGGCGCCAGGGAGGCGGGCTCGCGGGCGCGCAGTGCGGCCGAGAGGGTTGCCTACCCTCTCCATCACAGGCGCCCGCCCGGTGAGAGTGAAGGGGAAGGGTGCCGCAGCAGCAGCTACCAGTCGACTCGGCCGAGATGGAAGAAGGCAACGGCATAGCCTACGGGCGTTATCAGTCGCCCTACCCGCTATCGATGTGGCCATACAGTTTCGCAGCTCAAAGCGGCTCAAAGTAGGACCGTTCATTTCCGCATAACCATTTTATTTTTTCAGTTTGTCCTAAAGATAGGCGTGACGCCGCCCCTCGCCCCGCCCCCGGCCCACCCCCAGCCCGCCCCCGGGCCGCACTTGCTCTCCACGCTGGTCGACGAACAAACGCTTCCGAGTTCTGCGAAGGACTTTTGGGGGCCGGTCCAGAGACCTGGGCTTGTATGGGGGCGGAGGAGATTGTGTGTGGGGGGGGGGGCAGGCCGGTCCAGCAGCGCGACAAAGAGCGTATAAAGGTTGTAATGGCTCTGTAATTTGATACCAAACATATGTTGGCGATGAATGTTGCATCCCTGAGTCGGTCAGTTTCTGGTCACTCTTAATTTCCGCCCTTCGCGTTCCCAGGTGTGCAGCAGGTGTCCTTGCTCGCACAGGAGAAATCGCGCACCTATATTTTCTGGGCCGGCGTCCTATGTTTTTTGGCAGTGCACAAGAGTGTGCGTGTGTGCTTGATGTGTATGTGTGTGTGTGTGTGTGTGTGTCGCAGGCAGGTACATTTGGGAGGCTGCCGAGTCACCTTCCCAATTTGCAGAGCGAGTCACCGACCGCGCCGGGCCGGCGCCACGAGGCGCCATGCCCAGCAGTTTGCACTGAGGGCGGCGACGGCGGCGGCGACTTTTTGGCGAGTCCACACCCTCCCATCCTTATCCATCCCCCAGGAGGGCCTCCTTCCCGCCGTCCCCGTCCTCATGAGGGGCGGGGTCGCGCTGGCCACCGACCCCTGGCTGAAGGGGGGGGGGGGCAACAACCTGGGGACTGCGCCTCCCCACCCCCCTCGCACTAATATGTCCCCTATGAGGCCGCCAAAGGGACTCGGCGGCTGTCGATGCCTCATCCAACCCCCCACCCCCCTCACCCTGCCCCCTGTCCCTATACGCACTCCTCTGCGCTGCCGTGTGTTTTGTTGTGTAGTCAAATCCGTCAAGAACAGACGGCGCGCGGACGTTTGCAGCGGCACAAATAAAAGCCAAACGAGCTAGCCCCTCAAAAAAAAAAAAAAAAAAAAAACAGTGTATATGCTCGTATAGGTTTTTCTTCACGTTCGACGACGCGCCGACTGCCCCCGCTTTTAGCACCTTATCTCCACCACCGGCAGTTGTTGGAAGCCCCATGCACAAGTTTTATGGGGGCAAAAACAAAAACGTTCGAGTCGCGCTAGGTTTCTGAACGAACAGCCGCCGTCATACGCAGGAAGCTGTGGGTCTGCACGAAAAAAAATGTAAGCCAGAGGGCTTTTGTAAGTCGCGGCATGAGACAGTGAGTTGAAAGGGTTGTGGTTGAGATTGGGGTAGAACCATGCAGAACAAGACGAGGAAAAGGAAGGGCAGTTGTTGTAGCTCCCATCTTGGCATTTTTCATGGCCTGCTTTCAGCACCAAATTTACACAAAATTCCTCGCAAAATTTCCAGAATATTTCCATAATACTTTTGATACGAATTGACTCTCTTTGCGGCAACCATGTTGTCGACCGGGGATGATAGTGTGCGTGTGTGTGTGTGTGTCCCTCGGCTGGACGGATTCTCCGTTCGGCCGCGCAGATTCCTCCCGTGTGTTATTTATTTACATCCCCTGCCGTATTGGCCGGCTGTGTCGATGGACGCGCCGATGATGGGAA